AGAGTCAAAGGCAGCTTTCAGATCAAGAAAAACAACCATTGTTGGTTGCTGGAAGCAGTGTCGCTGTTCCAGAATCTGTCGGAGGGTGAAGATACGGTCGATGCAACCTCTTGCAGGACGAAACCCAGCTTGGTTTTCACGGATCTGCCTCTCCGTGTGTTCAGTCACCGCTTTCGTCTACCGTAAATCCTTTTGACTGGCGTGTACGGCAACCACGGTAGGGTCTTTTGACTGTCTCGCCGTCACGAAGAGACTGAACCTTATCGTGGCGTGACGGTTTGTGCACCTCAGCGACCCACTGAGCTATACACAGTCTCCCATACCAGGTTGGTTAGTGGTTAGAAACGAACACAGACTCATGGTCATCCAGATTGGGGGCTGGAACATGTGGCGACTTGTTCCGTAGAAATGGTAATGCAGTTGCACTTCCCGCCAAACACCGCTGCCACGCGGTTAGGCTTTTGAGCCAAAGGTTTTGGCTGAGGACTTTAATCGTCCTCCTATCTAGGTGTGGGCGCTATCCCAGTCCACGTACAATAAACTCATGCCACATCGGCCGTCGCGTGAAGCCATCAGCCGGGTCGACTTACTCGCTGCATACAGCAGGGCGCGTAAGCGAAAACAGGCTAGTGGTGACGCCTCCCTTCTCTCTCTTGCACATGCTTTTTCTTCTGTCTGTCTCAGACAACTGGGAAGAGCCGTTGACGGTGCCCGTTTTCGAAATAGGGCACGTAGTGAGTGCAGCAACTATGGGAGGATCAGCTTGACCCAGGTAGAAAGTGGTGTACGTCACGGATGCCCACTTGCCCTATACCTGTTTAACTTCGTGATCGATGAGATAATGAGACGAAAGCTGGAGGTCTCCAAAACCCCTGTGTTCAAATAGCCTGTGACGAAGACCTTGTCGATCTGGAATATGCAGATGACATCGTTCTCATCTTCGAAGAGGATGAGAAGGCAAAAGTGTTTTTGGATGAACTAACCAAAGCCATCCCGTCATTTGGTATGCACTTTGCACCCACAAAGTGTCAGGTCATGCTCCTGGAGGTACTGCCACGCTACTTACAATCCATGGAGAGGCACTGGAAATTGTGGAGCGTTTTACGTATCTTGGATGTTGCATTAGTTGTGATTGTAGTGTGACAGATGAGATCAGTGCACGAATCTGCAAGAATCGGATTGCATTTTCTAAATTGAGACACCTAGGGCGTTAAGGAACGTGTGCATCAAGCTACGGTGCGGGATGTTTTGTTGTATGGCTGTGAGACTTGGTCTGTTCGAGCAGCGGAGCTGAGACGTCTTCAGGTGTTCGGCAATCGTTTCATCAGAACCATAACTCACGTGGGTTGGTGCCGGCGAATCCGTAACGAGGCAAGTGGAAGGCATGTTTTCGGTTGTGCAACGGGTACTTCCATTGAGGAATGTGTCCAGTACCAGAAGCTGCGTTGGTTTGAACATGTGGTGCGTGTACCTACCCATCATTTGTCGAAGGGAGTGCTGTTTTTCATGCCTAATTTAGAGTGTCGGGAGCATAAAGTTAGCCAACCCTTGACCTGGCAGAAAGCTATGAAAGAAATCACGAAATGTTTGGGTGCTGTCGGTGCTAATCCTCTTCCAGGATAGGGACCGCGCGGTCCGCACTGCGCCTGGTTCGAGACACCGCAAGATGTGGCCGCCAACTGATGTCAGCGGCGATCTTGTTGTCATTTTTCATCCAGACCGCCTGAATGGGTGTCTGAAGGTATAGGTACCTTGGAATGACTTGAGCAAGCTAGCACTAAGTCCATTCGCCATCCACTTTTATTCTTTCTACACAATTAGGCTTTCAAATAAATCACGGCTGTACGGCAGTGAAGCATATTTATTGGACATTGATGCCATGCTGTTGTTGATGATGATGATCATTGTGGTGGTGATGAC